CATTTTTAGCTGCGAGAACCTCAGGTCCGTTACCGGGCCGTATCCTATCCTTCCCGTGGGCTAGGGGAACAAAAACCCTTTGAATTTTCTTCGCATTTCCAACAAAGATTGCCCTGAAAAACTGCGTAGTTGTTATGTATGAATGCAAGGGCTCAATGTGGCTCGGGGGGGGGGGGCTGGGGTAGTTGCCGCCGCGGCGCATGGCATGCTCGTGACATAGTACATAGTTACTCGAACATTCCAGCTTTTCACGCATGTCAATGACTGCCCTCATCCCTCATCCCCTAGACTCGCTCTCTACCCGTGGCTCACGGATTCTCCGCTCCGCACTGAGGTACGCGAACATGCGACGCGCCGCGGCTGCCCCCCCCCAGCCCATGTTGCACCCTGTGAGTGCAGCGCCGTGCAGGCGCAGCTCGGATTCCTAGGTGAACTCAAGTTTTGCTTCCAGGGCGTGGCGATCAGCTTCTTTGAGGAGTCGACCACCTGCTCAGACCGAGGACATTCGGATCCCGATTGACTCTCAATTCTTGTAGACTTCAGAAAATTCAAGTTATTTGTCCAGGAAACACACCTAATCAGAGCAAAGATAGGATCACCTTACTGGTCGTCGTAGTTCTTTATTTTGTTCGCTACCACACGGTTCTCATAGAGAAAATGTGTTTTGTAAAATAATCGGCGCTGTTCAGAGACACTGTGAATGAAACTCGGTAGAAAATTGGCACTATTTACCCTTTACTGCCCCACTCCTCGAGAACTGAGCCGGATTTTTATCGAAATTGGTCATTGACTGTGAATTTGGCCAGAAACTTGCCTTCGGGGGTAATTCGACCCGTAGAACACGAATATCACATTTGTTTACCGCTAGAACGCCTGGCGCTCGCGTCAGAAGCGCCGGCGCCAAAAGGCGCCAGAACATCTCGGATCCCCAAATTCGCTGGAAAGTTGTCCTCAGAGGTATTTTGACCCGTAGAATATGATTATCACATCAGTTTGTTACGAGTGAACCTGTAGCCTGCGCTACGAGCGCCCGCGCAAAACTGTTGTGATAGCGCGGGCGCCAAGCGTTTTCGCTCTAAACCGGTATTATATTCGTGATCTACGGGTCAAATTACCCCTGAAGGCAAGTTTCTAGCCAAATCCACAGTCATGGACGAATTTCGATCAAAATCCGGCTCAGTTCTTGAGGAGTGGGGCAGTAAGGCCGACGTCATAGTCGGCGAATCTCTCGGTCGAGCGATTGGCAAGCGATTGCGCAATCGCGCAATGTGCACAAGCGACGGGCGATTGGCCCCGCCCCCAGTCAATGCAGTCGGCTGCGGTATCGATCGAGCAGAGCCATTGCCCGTCGCTTGTGCACTTTGCAAGCGATCGCTCCATCGCTTGGTCCGTCGCCGACCATGAAGTCTGGTCTAAAGGGTAAATAGTGCCGACAAATTATATTCATGTTTTAATCACAAAGCCCAAAAAGCTACATGCTTATTATAGATTTAGATAAGGAACAACTACAATATTAAGATAGCTAATGAAAGTGACTGTATCCTTGCTCCGAAGTAGAACACGTAGGGTTCAACAATTAGAAATTCCGCTGAACAGTCATTCACAATCACAGTCATCGGAATGCTCAGAAAGTCCCACGCCATTAGTACATCCGATATCTGGCAATGGACACGCCCACTCCGCCGCGCCGTCGTGGCCACGCCCACAGCGCGGCGATGCTGACGATTCTGTTGACACGGATCCAATTACAAGTAGTAGCCGAGCTCCAGTAGTTCACTGAGATACATCATCGAAAAACGAACTTACTTCATCAGTTGGTGAACAGTATTGGCCTATACTTCAAATGGTGCTGCTTGCGCAGGAAAGATTTAAGCTTTCATGACTTGGCATTCAGAATCACAAAAAATATTTCCATTTCGATACACAAGCACATATCGAAAATGGAAATATTCGTAATGATTTTGAATTGCAAACGAGTGCATGGCGCATCTCAGAGCACGAGAGTCTACTGCAGAAGTGTCCGAATTGAGCACGGGAGCGTTGCGTTCGCATTGGCGCGCGCAATCTTCCCCTCGGCGCAGCGCGGATAGACCGAGGCAGACTATTGACTTTCAAATGAGTGTAATTCTGTTCAATATCAATATTTTTCAAAACGCTAAGTAGATTTGTAATCTACGAGACTGCTTGTTTCAGAAAACTACCACGTTTATGCATTATCTTCAAACTCTCAGTTATGGGGTAGAGAATTAAGAATTCACAGAAATGCGCACTTCTTCATTTGAAAGGTTGTAATTTCTTCAAATAAGAAAGTGTGAGAAGTGGTAAGAAAATTTTGAAACTCCAGATTGTTTTCTTTCTAAAAAGTACTCGAACTTTTGTAAAGTTTCATTTCTTCAAAAATCGCCCCGTTGGACCGTTTTTTGTGCACAACCGGTTTTTTGGCTTTCAATGACTATAACTTTCTTCAATTCAACCTTTTGCAATTCTTGTCCCCTGAAAAAACTAGAAGGTTAGAGCTTTCTAACGAATACTTGAACTCTTTCAAAATTGATGGAGTCAAAAAATCGCCCCGTTGGACCGTTTTGGGGAAATCGCGGACCGATTTTTGGCAGAGCGCTGGTTTTTTGGCTTTGAACTGTTATAACTTTCTTCAGATTCAACTTTTTGCAGTTCTTTCCCCTGAAGAAAACTAGAAGGTTAGAGCTTTCTATGAATACTTGAACTCGTTTCCAAAATGACCCGTTCAAAAAAATCGTCCCGTTGGACCGTTTTTTTTTCATGAATTTTCGGAGCTACTCTCCTGAAAACACGAGTTTTCAACACTCAAACACTCACAGCTCTCTTCAAACTCAATTTTATCAAGGAATAATGATACCATGACAGAGTACAAGCTTGGTGCTTCATAACAGATATCAAACTTTTTCTTGTAAGTATTAGTAGTTAATCCACCCAAGTGGTCACCCTTTTTCTAACTTAGAAAACAGTTTGAAAACATTGGTTCTCCTCAAGAGCATATTTGTGTACGTGAACAGTCAAATATGGACACTTCTGCAGTAGACTCTTCTGCTCTGAGGAGCGCCATGCACTCGTTTGTGGTTAGTAGTTGAAGAAGCACTCGAAAAATGTACGCCTCACGTTCAGTCGCAAAAGCAAGCGTTTCGACTGTGATCGTTTAATGCTGTGAGCTTAGGACTTCGTTCGCATATGTGTTACGTTTCGTCATTCCACGCATTGCGACGTTGACTTCAAGGAATACGACCTCCCCCTGTCGCGTCGGCCGAATACGACCACCCGTTGCACTTGGTCCAACGGTCGGTTTACCCTGATTGTGAGTACCAGACTTGTTTGAAAAGATAAAAACACGGACTTGTACATCGGCTGGCCCTCGAAATTCACTGTATAGGCCAATCACATTCAGGTGCAAGTATGGTTGTACAAATGGAAGTGGAATGCGTGCCGCATCGCCAAAACGGGTTGTTTAACGGCAAATGCTTCGTGCTTTTTTTGCTTTAGTTCGTATAATGGTCGACGAGGAAAGCCTCGAAATTATAGAAATCGAGCTCCACGACATTCGCTGAAGCCCATCTGATGTTTGAGTAAGAAAATATTACCAGC